AGGTACACGCCACCATGCCTGGCTAATGTTTTAAAAAATTATTTATAGAGATGAGGCTCTTGCTGTATTGCACAGACTGGTCTCAAACTCCTGGGCTCAAGTGATCCTTCTGCTTAGGGCTCCCAAAGTACTGAGATTACAGGTGTGAACCACTGCACTCCATCTCATCCAACTCTTATTTAACTCAAGTCTGTGTAATCTCTTCTGATTATCTGTGTGTACATACCTCGTACATGTTGCGTGATTTGACACATGTAATCTTTTTTAACTCAGTATTTTTATTTTAATTTTTTTTGAGACAGGGGGTCTCTGTTGCCCAGGCTGTAGTGCAGTGGCACAATGACAGCTTAGTGCAATCTGAACCTCCTGGCTGTGATCCTCCCACCTCAGCCCCCTGAGTAGCTGGGACTACAGGTGCATACCACCATGCCTAGCTAATTTTTGTATTTTTTGCTAGAGACGGAGTTTCTCTGTGTTGTCCAGGCCAATATAGTTTTAGTTTTTCATCTGTCAACGTGTTCTTTTTAAATCATTTTCTGCTCATTTCTAATTCATGAAATTGATACGCACATCCACAATCCCTTCTGTGCAATTCCAAATCCAAAAACCTCTGAAAACCAAAAATTTTTTTCACAACTCATTTGGCTTCAAAACCTGACCTGAGGCTGGGTGCAATGGTTCAGGCCTGTAATCCCAACACTTTGGGAGGCCAAGGCGGGTGGATCACTGGAGGTCAGGCATTCGAGATCAGCCTGGCCAACATGGTGAAACCCTGTCTCTACTAAAAACGCAAAAATTAGCTGGGTGTGTTGGAGGACACCTGTAATCCCAGCTACTTGGGAAGCTGAGGCAGAAGAATCGCTTGAACCCAGGAGGTGGGGGTTGCAGTGAGTGGAGACTGCGCCATTGCACTCCATCCTGGGCAACACAGTAAGACTTCATCTCCAAAAAAAAAAAAAAAAAATACCTGACCTGAATTAATTCCTTGGCAAAACCTACTTGAACTGACACTAAGCTGTTTATATTTTTTTCTTTTTTAAAATCTCTGTAAAAATGAGTACTTTCACATTTTGCTGCAGATAACATGTTTGATTACGGAGTGCTGTTACAGATTATACTTGAAGGTGTTACCTAATATGCCAGGTTATCTTTCTAAAATTCCAAAAATTTTAAATTTGGATATAGAACTGGACGCAAGCATTTGATTTGGGATAATGGGCGTGTGCCTTCATTTGCTTAATTATTTTCCCTATGGTTTAGGTGCACATTTACCCTTAACCATTTTCAGCTGTTGTTAATAACATGCCCTAAAAGCATTGGTATATAGAGCTTTTTTTCTTCTAAGTTTCAGTAAACCCTTGATACTCACAAAGAGTATAACTAAGATTATCTTAAGTTCTAATATAATATTTGTCCAGATTCCTTGGCTTTCCACTCAGTTACATAATTGTTGAGAGTTATATTTTTCTTATGTTTATCCTCATACCACAAGTTGATTCCTATATCAACAGTCTTACACTAAAAGCTTCATGTCTCACTTGAGTACCTTTTTTTGGAGAAGAAAATAATTACAACAGTTGCTATATATAGATGATGAATAGAGAATAACAATAGTGAATAATAAAGTCATACTGAAATGGGGATGCTAAATTACTCACAGCTTGAAGCAGAGTACTCAAATTTGTGTCTAACAAATCTCATCTAGTCCCTGATCGAACAAGCTTATGGCATGTCACAGACATCAAAGGTCACTTTCTAAAAATCAGTATTTTAAATCTGTGAATGTCAGTGGTCTTATATATACTTTTTTCTTATAATGAAGTCTTTAATTAAAACCTGCTTTTTACTGTGGACTTTAAAAAAACTTCTTCCTCTTTCCATACTCGTTCCAATTATGCTCTCTCCTCTGGATATACTCTTTTCTAATAATCCCCACATCGATTGCAGTGGTCATCACCTTCTGCCTTACCTCTTGATTGGGCTAGACACGGACCCTCAGTTTACCTGCCTTAATCTGCTGATCCTGATTTTACTGGTATTTGTCTTCTCTCTCACCCTGCTGTCTCCTCCTCCACCAGGATGAAAATGAGCAGGAAGGCCCAAACTTTAGGATCTAGGATCTGGAACTTCTCCTTTATTGCTTTATTGGGTTAACATCTCTAGATCAAGCTTTTTAAAAATCTGCCTCTCAATCCACTTAAGATTAGAGTATTTAAAATATTGATTTTTTTAAAAATAAAGTTTTAAAAACTTTGTTACAGTTTACTTTGTTACAGTAAAACTTTATATGCCTGTACTCCCAGCACTTTGGTAGGCCAAGGCGGGAGTATCACTTTCGCCTGAGTTTGAGACCAGCCCAGGCAACGTACTGAGACCCTGTCTCTACAGAAATAAAAATAAATTACCTGGACTTGGTGACATGTACCTGTAGACCCAGCTACTGAGGAAGCTGAGGTGGGAACATCACTTGAGCTTGGGAGGTCAAGGCTACAGTAAGCTGTGATGGTGCCACTGGCACTCAGCCTGGGGGACAGAGGGAGGCCCTGTCTCAAGAAAAAGAAAAAGTTTAACCGTAAACAGAGAAAAGTAGGATGAAAAGAAATGATTTTGCTCATGCTTAGAATAATTATCAATGTCTTCTCTTTGGAAAATATGTTAAATTAGGTTACCAGAATGATACTTGGTAGGTAAGATTATTTAAACATCCTGCTATTATTTTAACTAAAGTTAACAGGAACAACTGGTAGTTACTTTCATAGTAAGTAGTTACCTGACACATTCTTTTTTTTTGGAGACAGAATCTCACTCTGTTACCCAGGCTGGAGTGCAGTGGCATGCTCTTGGCTCACAGCAACCTCCATCTCCCGGGTTCAAGTGATTCTCATACCTCAGCCTCCCTAGTAACTGGGACGACAGGCGTGTGCCACCATGCCTGGCTATTTTTTTGTATTTTTAATAGAGATGAGTTTCACCATACTGGCTAGGCTGATGTCGAACTCCTGGCCTCAGGTGATCCACCTGCCTCGGCCTCCCAAAGTGTTGGGATTACAGGCATGAACTACCACACCCAGTCTTGACACATTCTTTTTTAATATGAAGTTTATTATATTCATAAAAGTATTGCTTGTCCCTGCAGAAAATTTGTACAGAAAAGTAGAAAAATACCCATCACTCTATTATTAGAACATAACCACAATTAATTTTTGGTGTATTTTCTCCTAGTTTTGTGTGTATGTATGTACACATAATAGGTAATCTTTTTTGTGGTGTTTGTAACTCTGATTTCTTACAGAAATCAGTGATGACAGACTATCATGTTAAACTCTTACTATATGTGGCCAGGCACAGTGGCTCACCTGTGTTATTTCAGTACTTTGTCTTTGGGAGGCCCAGGTGGGAGTATCACGTAAGGCCAGGAGTTCGATTCCAGCCTGGGCAACACAGTGAAACCCTGACTTTCCAAAAAAATAGAAAAATTAGGCACGTATGATGGTATGCACCTGTAATCCCAGCTACTTGGGAGACTGAGGCAGGAAGATTGCTTGAGCTTAGGAGTTCGAGGCTGCAGTGAGCTATGATTGTGCCACTACAGTCCAGCCTGGGCAACAGGGTGAGTCCCTGCCTCAAAAACAAACAAACAAAACAGTATCTGTAGTTTCCTCTTAGTCTGTCTCTAGCTTTGCTTGATCCCATCAGCAACAGAACACCATTCAGCGATTGATTTCATTAAGTGTAGTTGGAACCACCTTTTTCTGTTTAAGCAGACTGCTGCCTGATCTTCTGCTTTTCTCCTTGCATTTTGAAGCTGCCGTCTCTGTCACATGCCATTGAGAATGCTACTCTGACTTATCCTTGGTCTCAAATTTCACACCTGTTAGGGTAACTTGTATTTTTGACAGACCGATTCCTCAGACAGATATCTCTATTTAGATCATGCCCTAATCAAATTTTAGCCAAAACGTGTGAGAGACAAATATTTCTACTGTTATGACTTTAAACTTAAGTCTAATAATTTTCTAGTTTTTTACTAAGACTCATTTTCATTAGCCTCATGTTTCTGTCCTCAAAGTTATAGTAATAGATGCTAAGCATAGATACTGATTACAAAGGAACAAAGTTACAATTCATTTTGAAACTAAATTAGCTTATTTTAATTATCAGACTAAGGTCACCAACTGTTGAATTAATTAGTACTAATACCACCCTGACTGCTGCTTTTTTCTTGTCTTATTTACCCTACATCCTGACATCTTGATTAGCTTACAGAAACACAAAATTATATTTTTGAAGGCTGCCTATTTGGATAGAGTATCAAAAGATACATTAAATATTTTTAATAGCATACATTTACAATATTGTGAAAAGTTCTATAGTAATATGCGTTAAAAGAATATCTTCAAAATAATGTCAGCACTAGAAAAAAATTCCAGAAGTAGAGAATTATTATTCTTATGTTTTCACTGGAGCTCCTTAGAGTTCCGTAACTTAATGTCTGAAGTTATTTTGAGGGAGCTGTTTTAAATTGTCCAATTCTGCAGATAGGGAGAGGAGGGTATAGAAATTATTCTACCACTCCTAGCTGAAACTTCAGGAGGTTTTTGATATCCCAGATTGTAATCCATAAGTTAGAAAATTCAAATAATAAGTAATTCTCAATTAATCTGATTGTAGTAGCAAACACTGGAGTAATAATATGTTTGATTATGGCATTAAATGACTGAAGATTATTATACCAGAACCAGATATATATGATGGGTCATTCCTTGCCATAAGCCAACCAGAATAAGCAGCAATTAGGTTGTCTCTGCTCTTTGAGAGAGTACCTGAGTCTTGAACATGGTAACTAAAAAGAAGAAAGTGACACTAGCTGCTTAGTAAGCAATAACTGTTGTTCATTTGAATTACAATTCTCATTGGCCCCCCACCTGCTTTCTTACTGGTCTGGCCTACCTTCTTTCAGGCCCAGGCCTGGGAGTGCTTGCAAGATATAGTTGGGGTAAAATGTTGACTTTTGGTGGACACCACGGAGTCACATTGATGCAGATAAGGCACATGGCTGTGGCAGGATTCAGCTCCTTCATCAATTTTCAGGTTAGTATGGCTGAATCAATTATAGTTTGTAGAAGTTCCCCTACTGCAGACTTTACTGGCAGTTGAGACTGGGATCTTTCTTCCATGAGAGACATGGTGATATGCCACATTACTTTGGAATACAATAGTTGGTCATGGTTGCAGTCATAAGGAGAACCACCTGTAGAATTTGTTTAATTTATTCAAACTTTTATTTTTTTAGATAATCCTTCCTCAGACAGTTTTCTTGGCTCAGGCGACTTAAGAACCTTTGGCCAGAGTGCAAATGGCCAATGGAGAAATTCTACTCCATCATCAAGCTCATCTTTACAAAAATCAAGAAACAGCCGAAGTCTTTACCTCGAAACCCGAAAGACCTCAAGGTTGGTATTTTGTCATCTTAGTTCTCAAGCCCTTCCTCGGATATAAGAGAAAGTGACTAAAAGGTAGATAGTTATTCCATGGGGATTTTAAAAGAGTAACACCATCTTTGGACTTTAAACCTTAAGGATATGAACAAATCCATTTTACATTTTCAACTTCTCATTTACTTAGTGCTGAATTTTGATGATAGCTAAATTTTACTGGAAGAGAGAATTTTAAGTAAATCTTGGTGGATATGAGAATATTGGGACCCTTCAAGATCAGTATGGCTCTTGCAAATCTTAAAGTGAAAATCAGTCAATCTCTGCAATTTGAGCGGAAAGAAACACATTTTACAGCTGTCATGTGAGCAGAGACCTGACTTAAACTAAAGCAGTTCTCTACCTCATGACATTAGTCAAGTAGATCAAGCTACTTCTATATATTAGAAAATAAAGAGTCACAGGCCAGGCACGGTGACTCATGCCTGTAATCTTAGCACTTTGGGAGGCCGAAGCAGGTGGATCACCTGAGGTCAGGAGTTCCAGACTAGCCTGGCCAACATGGTGAAACCCCATCTCCACTAAAAATACAAAAAAATTAGCCATGCATGGTGATGTGTGCCTGTAGTCCCAGCTACTCAGGAGGCTGAGGCAGGAGAATCGCTTGAACCTGGGAGGCAGAGGTTGCAGTAAGCTGAGATCATGCCACTATAGCTGCAGCCTAGGTGTCAGAGTGACCTCGTCTCAAAAAACAAAAAGATAGTCATAGAGAACTTTATCCTAGTTATTCCAACTTCATAAGCTCTACCTAACAAAACTTACATGGATTATTAAAGGCAGATGAAATTTGGCTTAGAAACTTTTTCCCTCAGGTATTTTATTATATTATTATTTATTATAGTATTTATTATATTAGTAAATATCTCTTTTTAAAAATAGTATTTATGACTACTTAAATTCTGCCCTGGTGTGTTTTAGGAATGTGGGATCATTTAATGTACTGTTTAGTCAAGTTTGAGCTTTGTGGTGTTGATAGAAGCCAACAAGATGGCTTTTATTTTATTATACACATGGACTCCAGGAACATGTGTCAGTACTTCCTGGGATCATGTTCCTCACTTAACTTTTAAAAAATTATACAGTAATTCACTCATACACTCACATTGTAGAAATCAATATGTTACCAACAAAGCTGAAGATCCCTTGACTGCTACCCACAATCCCAATCCCTTCTCCTTGGTGTGTTTCCTTCCAAACCTTTTCCTATACCTGTTTCTTTCTTACTGTTTCTTACTCATATATAGTATGATATATATGTTATGTATACTATTAAATGTATGATATTATTTTGTCTTCATTAAAGATTTTCTCTATGCATCATTTTGCAGGTGGCTTTTTTAATGCAATAAAGCCATACTGTTATTTAAAAAAAAAATGTTATTACAGAAATAGTATAAATACTTTGGAAAAATTTAGAAAACATAGTTAAGAAAAACAAAAAATAAAAACATCATATTGCCACCAGCCTGAGATCAACTCTGTAATATCTCAGTACATATCCTTCTACATACTTTTTTTCCAAAATGAGTTCATAGTGTACATATTCTTTTGTAAATTTTATTTTATACCCTAAGTCATATTTAAATTTTCTCAGTTGACCCAGTTAGTTTGGTTTTGCATCTGGAAGTTATTGGCTTTGTCTCTTATAACTAGAACAGCCTCCTTTTTTTTTTTTTTGAGAGGGAGTCTCGCTCTGCAGTAGTGTGATCTCGGCTCACTGCAACCTCCGCCTCCTGGATTCAAGCGATTCTCCTGCCTCAGCCTCCTGAGTAGCTGGGACTACAGGTGCCCACCACCACATCCAGCCAATTTTTGTATTTTTAGTAGAGACGGCGTTTCACCATATTAGCAAGGCTAGTCTCGAACTCCTGACCTTGTGATCTGCCTTCCTTGACTTCCCTTCCTGGGATTATAGGCATGAGCCACCATGCCTGACCTCAGCCTCCTTTTTTTAAATGACATGACTTTTCTGTATCATGTTCTACTTTTTGGATTTGACAGGTTGCTTCCACATGGTATCATTATTTTGTCAAAAAATCACCTGTATTTTTTATAAGCTAGGTTTTTGATGTGACTAAAAGGTGATGCTGCGTTTATCACATTTGAAAAACAAACAGTATCTTGTTTTGGTTCTATTATTCATGATACTAGACTGACCTCTGGATTGAGGAACTGACAATCTGGTAGTTAATTGTACAATTAGGTTTTTCTCCTGTGACTTGAATGTAATCTAAATAATGTTACTTTGGCATTATATGAATGATGAATTTCACATCAGCCATCACCTAATAATTAATATCATTTGATAATACTTAACTGAATAGTTTTATTACAGTTAATGAAATAATATTTTTCTAATTTTATCACTTCTACACTTCTTAATTGGCATTCTGATTGCATTTTTCCTTTGCTGGAGCTATTAGAGTCCCTGAAATGTGTTTCCTATGGGAAAGGCAGGATAAATGATTAGATTTTACTTTTTCATTACCAGTTTTCAAAGCAAGGTTTTTGTAAAATAGACACTTCATATGTTTCAAATGAATTTGTCTGTTCCTTTTTTAGTGTCATTATGTATTCAGTGTTTTGCAATCCACTATAATTGTTATACTTTTAATGCTCACATTCTCAGAAATTTGGCTAGTGGAAGCCCCTTAAGCTTGCTTCTCTGTCTGTTTGACCTTAGCTTATTGATTTTGGGTAACACCCTTGCTTTCTGGCATTGCAGGATGCCCTTGTACTGTTTCTTTAGAAGAGTAATATTTTATGTTAAAAAACATGCATAGGTGCACACATACTCTGGGAAACACAAATACAAAAGACATTGTGGAGAATCCATCACGTGTTTACCAAACAATTACACTGCCCTTGCCATCTTTTCCTAGCTGCATCCACTCATCCTAAGAAAACAAGCCTGTTCCTAAAATTTTAAGTCCTTGCTCGTTTCCCCATTCTTTTTTTTTTTTTTTTTTGAGAGAAGCAAGAATATGAGTTTAATTTAACGTGAACAATGACACTGTGTAACAGCACAGGGAAGAGGTAGTGGAGAGAGGTGGTCAGGCTTCCTGTTTCTTAACCAGCCTTGATTTTAACAGCAGAGCCCCAGCAACCTAGAAGTGCCTCACCTAGCCTCTTAATGGAGTGGGAAGGGGCAGGGACTTGGAAATTAGAGGCTCAAAATGTAAAGAAGGCTGATGGCAAGCCTGAGGAGAGGCCTGGAAATGAGGGAAGGGCTGAGGGCTGTGAGGACTCCTCACACGAAGACCCTAGTGCAGATCTTCAGCAGTGAACATGCCCCTGGCCCTGCGCAGGATGGAGTCCTTGGTGGCATCATATGGGTGCTCCTTGGAGGGGGTCTCCAGGACAGTGGGGATGGAGTGCTGGTGGGCGTCCAGGGCCTGCCGCACCGTTTCTGCTATGTACTGGTTGATGAGGATGATACCGATGTCATCCTGGTTTAGAAATTGCCAGAAAGTGTCTTCGATCTCATGAATGGTTGTATCCTTCTCCATCACCAGGAAATTGGGGTGGCAGTTCTTGTTAAGCTCCCCTATGCCGCCCAGCAGGAAACGAGTCACTGTGTCCTCGTCTCCCATCACTGTGATGAGCTTCCCTCTTTCCGCCATCCTCGCAGCCGGGCAGAGCTCACCCCAGAGCACCAGAAGCCACTCTCATTTCCCCATTCTTAACACATGTACAAACCCAAGAAGACTTAAAGAGAATTGTGCACTTTTTGATTTTCTTTAGATCTTATCTGATTTGGATTCAGAACACATATAATGATTTTAAAGAGTTGATTTCATTGAATTTAGAATATTCAGCTGTGTTTCTGTAGTCTGAGTCTTGAAGAAAAAAGAAAATTTATTATGCTAAGAATAAGTACCTCAAACTTTCCAGGTAATGATAGATGAAAAAGAGCACATAGAAAAACTCAGAATTGGCTGGGTGCTGTGGCTCACACGTGTAATCCCAACACTTTAGGAGGTTGAGGCAGGCAGATCACCAGAGGTCAGGAGTTAAAGATCAGCCTAGCCAACATGGTGAAACCC